GGTGTTCACCAACTGGTCGGACCAGCTCTGTTACTGCATATCAGGTGGACAATGAGCTGCTGGGTAGCGTTATTATTCCTCACTAACCCAGTGACGGGAAGCCTCTCATAAAATCACTGCCCGCCTAAAAGGGCTTCCTAAAGTTTCTGTCTGATTGTGAAATTGTGTGAAGGATACAGTTGAGAGCTAATTTGGAGCCGTCCCATTATCCTGTCTACTCCTGTTAAAGGTCCCATGAGCTTTTAAAAAAAACAACCCCATTTAGCTCCAGTGTCGCTGGTGAACCTGTAGGGAAGCTTATAGGAATGTGTGGTGGGAAGCAGCATGATAACACGATTAAATGTTGAGTGATGTACTCAACCCGTCAGGAATGTGGCAGTGTAATATCATTAAACATTGATTGATTGGTTGATGATACAGAACATAATGAATCAACATGAAAAAAAGAGATTAGAATGATTAGAAAGTGGGGTGGGTTATTTTACCTCTAACAGGTTCACAGTAGCAGAATTGTAAGCTTTAATGTCCTGATGTTGGTTATGTTTAAGTTAGTTATGCATATACACACAAATACAGACATTTATATAGTGTATATACACACACACACTGTCTCAGCAACCACAGATGAGTCTCTCTTTACCCCTGATATTAGTATAAATTCCACGATGTTGCTGTTGAGGAGCTGCAGAAAATCCATCGCATCTACCCTGGGATGGTACCATCCACAGGCACATACAGTAGGTTTCTTTCTTCTTTTATTCATCCTTTGTAGCCCTCTTCAATGATCACGTGTGTTTCTGGCTGACTGCTCCTGTTGTCAATTTCAGCATTTACTGACAGCACCCAAAAAGATCTCCTGAAATTGATTGGTAACCTCCCAGTCCAGTATGAAGGTAAGACTGACCTCTGACACCAGAGACTGCCCAGAGACTCTGCCTGTCATGTGTGAGGCTGATACTGTGTACTGATGACAGCATTTCTTTTTCCTAAGGCCGCACATACAACTTCCCCATTCAGCTGTGGCTGATGGACTCATTCCCCTTCACCCCTCCCATCTGCCTCCTGAGACCAACCGCTAACATGGTCATCAGGGAGGGCAAGCATGTTGACGCTGGAGGACGGCTCTACCTGCCGGGGCTGCACAACTGGGATTATGTAAGGTTTTATGCTTTCTGGGTGAAGCTTAAAAAGGTGTAGAAGAGGTTCTGGGGTGTTTGCATCAGTCATGCTGCTGTGTTTTAATTGTATTTCTTCTTTTTTTTTTTTTTTTGCTCTGTCACAGCCCAAGTCTTCTGTGGTGGGTCTTCTGACTGAGATGATTGCCAAGTTTGAGGAGGAGCCCCCACTGTCCTCAAAGACCACAGGAGACAATAAGGACCCCCATGACCTTCTGGCTTTTGTCTCTAACCTCCAGATCAATGATGGTGCTTCACTTGATATGCAGCATTGCTGTTGATCAGTACTCAGATTACTGTGTGTTATTTTTAGCTAATCACATGTCTATTTCAGGTGGAATCAGACATCACGATCAACCAATCAACAAAGTCTCTGTTATCGGGGGAGGAGATTTAGGAATGGCATCAGTGATGAGCATTTTATCAAAGGTTTATATATCATATTGTATATTTTACCTGCTTGAATAATAATGTCAAATTCACCTGTTCTAATGCTTATTTACTGAGCCCCAGCTTTATTTTTCTCTCCACCAAGTGTAAAGTGGATAAACTGGTTTTCATTGACGTCGCGGAGAGTTCCACCAAGGGCGGCAGCACAGATCTAGAGATTTTCAATCTGCCCAAGGTTGAGGTGTCCAGAGGTACGTCACTTTCTGCTCCGTCACGCAGTAATATACAAGTGCCTCTTGGCTGAGTCACTGCTGATGTCAGATTGTTTCAGAGGTAGCTGACTGGCATTGTGTGTAGGGCCTACCCTTGATGACTCTCCTCTATGACAGAAAGCATTCACTGAATCCCAACCAGCTGCTGTTCTGTAGTTGACTCTGAACTTCACAGAAACTAAAAGCAGTGTATCCATCAGTGATTACCTGAGAGTTAGCACAGTGTTTGTGCTTAGAAACAATGCTTTAAGCTGTGGCTGTTTTTCTTTTACTTTGCTGTTAGACGTGTGCAGGATTTAACTACCGATGACTCTCCTTTGTTAGATTTTTCAGCGTCTTCGAACTCCAAGGTTGTGGTGGTGACAGCGAATGCATGGAGCAGCGAGCAGTCGTACGTAAACGTGGTGCAGACTAACGTGGACTTGTACAGAGGAATTATTCCAAATTTGGCACGTCTCAGCCCCAACGCAGTAATGCTCATCGCTTCACAACCAGGTAGGTGCAGAGACACTCCATATATGAATGGACGACTCAGCTTATTAAAGATCTCCTCCAGACATGCATTAAGACATAGACAAATAATCTGCTTGGAACAGTAATGTGGTTCTGATATGTTTTTTTCCCCCCCAAAAAGTATAATTTCCACATTAAACTTTAGGATGTATGAATACATTTTGTTAATTTCTTAAAGTTTTCCTGTTGGACACAAGATGTCTCCTACTTCACTGTAAAGTCCATTCTCAGTGTATGTGCACTGGTGGCTTCAAGGTTCTACATCACACTTGTATAAGTTGAAAATTGGACCTGGGTCAACATCCAAACTATTTGTGATGTCACAAATTATGCTCGTAGGCCCCGCCCTCTAAATTCAGATTCAGCGCAGAGAAATTTTCCACTTTCATTAGATGAATGTGAAAACTTCCTTCTAGTGTCAAACTCTGCACAAACATCATTCTGCACATTGAATCTCAAACATCACACTGCATGAACAAGAAGAAAAACATATTTTTGAGGGGCGGGGGACTTTAACTTTTTACGTATCATTAATTCTGTTTTCTTTCTTGTCCAATTCCAGTGGACATCATGACCCACGTTGCCTGGAGGCAGAGTGGCCTGCCGCCGACTCGGGTGATCGGAGCAGGGTGTAACCTGGACTCAGAGCGACTTAGTCACATTCTGGATATTAACCTGAACACTCACAAACCAGCCTGGGTCATAGGAGAGCTTTCAGACAACAAAGGTGAGTTAGGAAGGATCAATTAATTATTTACTCAAAGGTGTCATGGTGAATGTGTGACTCCACCGACTCCTCTTTCATTTATCTATCTCCTTCACCCTCCTCTCACTTGTCTTTTTTTTTATCTGCCTTTGTATTTGTTTTTGTTTTGAATTGTATTTGCACAACCAGTAGCACTGCACTCCATGCTAATTGCGTATGTTGTTTGTAAATGAGGCACGTGACTGAGCTTGTCAGTGTTTTTGGTCTTGCAGTTGCAGTGATGAGTAACACCGGGCTGAGCTCCAGCGTGCAGCCAGAGATTGCATCAGGATCCAGTGCTACCAAGCCACTGTTAGACAGGTACTGGCATGAATTAGAATGACCCGGAGTGAAGGATTTATGTGTAGATCTGAAATTGTGGACACAGGAAGGAAAGCTGTAGGAATTTAGATAATTTGATGGGATTAAGAAATGTACATGTATCTCTCCTTGATCATGATTCTCAAATATATGACGGCTTCTGCATCTAAAGATAAAAAGCACGCGTTTTTCTGATGCTGATCTCTTTCTGTAGAGGGTTTGAGATGATGAAGAATCGAGGTCAGCGGTCCTGGTCTATGGGTCTGTCCGTTGCTGACATCACAAACAGTGTCCTGACAGACAAGATGAAGACCCACTCTGTCTCCACACTGGCTCAGGTAGACCCACAGTGTCTCATATCAAAACAACTGCATTATTGTCACGGTCAACCTTACTGTTATCAGGCATTATGTGTCAGTTAATTCTCTAGGGGTGTATGAAGTCAGCATCAGTGTTGGACAAAATGATAGATCTTACTATTACTATATCCAATATTAAAAGGACATATTCATCGAAATGTGATTATAGAAAATATTGTGTTCTCCGTTTGCTTTAGGGTTGGGGTGGCATAGGCGCAGAGGTGTTCCTCAGCCTGCCGTGCATCATGGGATCAAACGGTTCCACGCGCTTGGCCGGAGTGTCGCTCGGACAGGAGGAAGACTCCAAACTGAGGGACAGCGTCGCCTCCCTTTCCAACCTCATGGGTCAGCTGAGGATATGAAGGATCCAGCGGTACTCACCAAGTTTTGGCTTCACTGACCAGTCTGAGAGCAGCAGACGCTTACTGGCAGGGCGGTTTTCCAGTCAACACACCCTCAGCAGATGGACTGTGCTCGTGCTGAAGTTGAATGCAGTTTCAGTTAGCTACTTACACTGGAATGTTGAATTTATGGACAAACTTGCTGTCTTTAATATGGATAATTTAATCATAAGATTTGTTTCTATATTGTTGTTGGATACTGTGTATTACATGTGGGTAAAAATAATCTGAAATAACAATGCATAGATTGCATTTAAATATAACAGAATTGAGAAATTCTTCTTTGTCTCATACAAAATATGCAATTTGGAACATTACATGAATGCAGTTATACTTTTTGAAAGCCATGATCTATCCAAAAGCATCTTTAGAATATTGATGCTTGTAGCTTTGAAGAACTATATTTTTGTCATTAACAGCTAAAGTTGAATTTGACCTAGACTACTTTTACCAAAGATGTGATAATGTAATTATTTTTTTTGTACTAATCGATCTTTAATTCTTTTGGAGAAAATCAGGGTGTTGGCAGATGATGAGGCATTTATATTATATATAGACCAGGGTGCTGGTGTGGAGTCGTTACATGGCTGATGAAGTACAGCTCGTATATATTTTAATGGACATCTTATTGCTTTATATTTAATGACAATATACCTTTGCAGAATATTTAAATCGCCTTTGCTCTTACATTTGTTTACTTTATGTAACATATAAGCAAGAACCTAAGATATGTACAGTGAGACTACACAGTTTTGTGGGTGTGCAATAAATATCTGAAACCAGATGTGGATTGTCTCTGTGGGAAAGAGAAGACAACAGACAACTAAAGGTTTATCTCTTTATAAAACTCAAATAAGTAGTTGCATAAATGTACACAAGCTTTGGTCTGAGCCCCAGCGTCGCTGATGTCAACCAGATCCATAAAAGGAGCAGTGATGTACAATTGGTGGTCAGGTCACATGACTAAACATACTCCAAGTAAGCCAAACAGATTTGCGTGCAGGCCAAAATCCACGTTCTTGGGTAAGAATCGCAGCAGCGAGACCAAAGTCCATGAACAAACTGTAAGACATCTGTTAACATCACTCCTTAAAATAAAAATAGTTTTTTAGCATTAACCTGGAACTCTATTAGGAAACAGCTGAATACTTAAGAGAACTGCAAAACCTGATGTTTAGACATAGTATATAATGTATATGTATATAACTTAATATATAGAACTGAATGAAAGGATAATATAAACATGTTTGACTATTAGGTCCTTGTACAGTATATTATGGCTCAACTTCCATTCCTCAAAAACCTTTGCTCTGATACCACAGTCACTGCAATGGCTCTAAAAGATGGCTGTGCATATTAATAAATGTATCTTTGATTCATTCTCTTCCCAGTCTGAACAGTACAGAACAGTGTAATACGGGGTCTGACCTATGTGTCATCTGACACGTCTAAATGTATAAATGTCCACATTCATAAATAGGAATTATAGATTTATGTCATGGTCAGCACAGTTCTTCCCAAAAACCTCCTTAAAGCAAATTACTATCAATCTGTTAACACTTCTGACCACTAGATGGAGCTATTCTTCATAAAAACTGTGACTGTGAATCTTACTGTGACTCCCTCTGTGCTGGTAATATGTTGAATTCACTAAATCCTCCTGTTAACTCTTCTACTTCCACCTTGTTTAGCCTTGATACATGCATGTATATATACATGGAACAGTACATTGTTGCTGTGAGATCTGTGTCAGGCAAACATATATAACACTGAAACTGACAGCATCTTAACAATATGCAAAACATTTTAAAAAAAGCAGCAAAATACCCAGAGTACCCACTGCTACCTGTCTGGGGGGAAAAATGACCTGGCCGGGCTTCATGTGAATTAAACTAGCTTCGGTATGTACACTAGTGACATATTGCACCATGTCTTCCCTGTTGCTGGTGGTTACAACTTATTTTGAACGTTTGGATGCAAACTGCTTTGGTGCAACCTGGTTTAGTGGTCCACTGTCATCAAGTATTGACCTAAAGATGCAATAAACAAATGGTGTTATATTAACAGTTACTCATTACAGTATGACATACTGTTACATTGTGTGAGCCTGCTCACAGTTTCCCATAAATGCAGTATAAATGTATAGGCTTTAGGTGCTTTAGCAAAGATGACCTTATTCTGCAGCCTCAAAAGCCCTTGTGTTAGAGTCGCTACCCTCAGTGCACTGCGATCAGGTTAAGACACTTTGTTGGAACAAACTGGAGATGAAGCGATGGTGGAACACGTAGCTGGTATTAGATCACCTTATTTCTGTGTACATTTCGCAATACTATCCATCAAATTGAAAACCAGATCTGGTCTCAGACACCAACAAGAGCAGGTGCATTAATACACTCACTTTTTGTGCAGCAAACGGTAACACTGACAGCAGTTTTAAATACAGGTTCGACACAAAGAGTTAACTGCCCTCGCAAAAAAGGTGCAAGTATCACAAATCTGTACATATCAATGTTCGCATACACACACACACACACACACACACACACACACACACGCACACACACAAAACTTTAACACACTAAATAGCTACTGGCCTTTGACCTCTTCGATGGCTTTGAAAACTAATCAAGCATCAAGAAAGTACGGATATATTGGCATAATCAGTAACACCTTGAATGGTTCTTGGAAACTTCAAAAGGTCACTGATTTGGGCAGTTGCTGTCCACCTGGAGGCATCCTGCAAAAGTCTGGGCTGGATCGGACCAGGGGCACTCCTACCGGCGACTGTCCTGAGGGCCTGGAGTGACCTGGGGGAGACCCAGTGTACAAGAGTGGTGCTGGGAAGGCAGAATGGTCCCTGGGGCCCCTAGAGAAAGGCTTAGAGTAGCCGGGTGAGGTGGCTCTGTGTGTGTCTGAGCAGCTGACAGCACTACACTGGAAGGGACTGAGTCTGTCAGCAAAACATGGTGGAGGAGGGTGGATGATGGAGTCCTTCACCCAGCTGTCCTCTCCTTCATATTCTGGCTCCTGAGGCAAACTGGGGAGTGCGCACAGCGAGGGAGGAACGGGAGAAGGTGAAGGAGGGATGAACACAGGAGGTGGAGGCAGAGGGTAGAGAGCTGGGTCATAGTCTTTCTCAATGGTATGTGAAGGCTCGCCGTGAATGCTGGGAATTTCCTCAGGCATGGAGCCCAGCAGCCTCTCCAGATAGGGGTCGTCGTCGTCAGCCTCAGAAAGGTTGTCATACTGAGAGGTGTTGGAGGGCCGTCTGTTTCCAGCAGTCACCGGAACGTAGAGAGAGACTGGGAACTTGGTTGGCTTTGGGGAAGGAAGTCTGGGAGAGGAGGGGGATGGTGTGGTTAAGGTATGGGGATGGGAAGGCTTTGGGGGTAGAGGTTTTTTCTGCGTGAGGTCGAGAGACGTGGGTGGTTTTAGGCATGGTTTTGGTGGTGGCTTCATTTTAGTGACCAGTGGTGAGGCTGAGTGGGGGGAAGGAGAGCGGCGCCGAGTCTCTGGGTCTGTCCCCAGGCAGGGTGATTCGCTACCTGAAGGGCTTTGGTCATTCTGCTCAGGGTAAAAGAGAGGTGGAGGTGGCAGATCTGGAAGGTCCATGATGTCCTCCTCAGTCTGCAGGATAAGAGCATCCAAAGCAGGGGGCTCATAGGGTGGAGGCCAATCCACAGGATTTTCCTGGGTCTCTGGGGCTTCAGGCTGGCTCTCCTGTTTTCCCCCATCTTCAATCTGGTTAACTTCTGGAAGCGACTCCTTCAGATCTCTGTCTAACCCGACCTCAGCACAAGGTTTGTCTACTTTTGGAGGTAACGGAGGGGGTCTAGAAGGCCTTAAAGGAGAAGGTGTTCTTTGTGGGTGGACTACGACTGGGTCAGGTGAAGGCAGAGGAGGTGTTCTCGAGTCCTGGGGCTCTGCGGGTGAAGGGGTCTGGTTCACGGTGATGCTACCTGTTTGCTGTGCCTCTGCACTGGGTTGGCTGTTTGGCTGCAGATTTATTTTGACCTCCAGAGGAGAGTCTGGCTGCAGTGGCAGAAGGAGGACTGGTCTCTCTTGACCCAGAGGTTTCTTTGGCAGCTCCTCTGACTTGGCTAAAAATGGAAATTGAGGATAGGGAATTCATCAATGAAAGGAAAAAAAGATACTTTAGGACCTATCAGACTAAGAGGTGAATGTAGCTGAAAAGAATAAAAGAACACAACTGCACCTGGAGGAGGTTTGTCCAGCTTTTTACTGCGAAGTTCAGACATAGAAGCCTGCAATTGTTCAATCACCACATCATCAGGCAGGAAGAAAGAAACAGCCAGCTGCTCCTGGAGAAACTCCCTCAGCTCCTCTAACTGATGCTTCTGGAGGCGCTCTGATTGGATACACACACAATGCAGACACAAAACAGAGGCAAGTTAACTCCTACAATGAGGTATGCAAATCTATGAGAAAAGGTGAATCCTGAATATAAATAATATTGTTAAAGCTGTTAACACTAAGACACCAAGTAAAGGAGTAGCCCATCAAAAGAGTCGTTTTGCAAGAATTCAACCAATGTGCTGAGGCTATGCTCCTGCAAGCGTCCAATGAAAAGTCAGCTTTTGATTCTTCTCCACAGCAACCGGCCACTTGCATTATGTAAGCCATCCAGTTAGGAAGCAGCCAAGCGAGAGGCAGCGTGAGATGTAATCCACACAGTAACACTCACTGGTAAAGCAGCCCTGACTGGATCTGTGCATGAAGCCGGTTTGACTCATCTAGCATGGCACGGCATGGAAGACAGTATACTCAGCATCATACTCACTCTTGTGTATCTTGAAGGTTGTATAAGCCATGGCATTTAGCACCTTCTCTCCCTCCAATATGTAGATGTCCCATAAACGCAGGGTGAGGGTGAACGGGGTCTGTTATGTAAGACACAGCAGCAGAGAGTCAGTCTGATTAAAAAATAATAAAACAACTGCAGATGTGGTTCTATTCAAAAACAAAAAGGAATGCAATGTGATATATTGATTAATGACAGTTTAAATGCAGAATACATCTGGGATTAGATATAAACAGGGTAGATCTGGAGATGGAGCATTCATGTATCTCATGTTCTTTTGGAAATCCAAATACTCACTCTGTCAATGAAGCACTGCAGAAACCATTTGGTGGTGTAAATCCCCGTTGTCATCTGCTCCTTGTCCTGTGGGGCAAGCATTAATGAGAAATAGTCTCTATGGGAAGTCACTCCTCATAATCTGTTCTCAGTTATAAATCTCACTTTCCAAATAGCTCTAACTCTTGGACCCGCTGTAACATTCTGAGCATGTGGCCTTTTGCAAAATAAATTAATCAAGTGAAATGACCCAAATAAAATTGACTGCAGCCCTTCTAAGCAATCAGTTAGCTCCATGTCTCTTGGAGTCATACAGATGTGCTTTAACTTACCAGGTGTTTCTTCAGCTTTGGCAGCATTTTGGAGAGGATCAGCTCGTGGTGGGCCTGGAAACGCTGCAACTTGGGAAATCCCGGGATGAAGAACCCTGGCGCAGTAAAAAAAAGAATAAATCAGCAGGCCATAAATGGTGTGTGGTAATGGTAGAGAGAGACATAATCATCAAGGGCACTGGGAAAACATGACAAGATGTGTGATCATTTGGTAAAAACTGGTGAAGTTGCTTTCAGTAACACGAAGGCTGTGGTTTTATGTAATAACAAATTCTGTAGACCATGCCTATGTAGCCAAGGTTGTAGAAATAGTATATATGTATGAATATGTGTGTGGAGAGTTGTTGGCCATTTGCAATACATTTCTGAGTGCATATTTTGAGTCAGTCACAAATATGAACAAGCATGTACGGATTGAGTAACAGTTTCACAGCTCGAACATTTGCATGAAAACATTTCTATCCTTTTGAATAAGAACTGTTGTGATATTTGAAATGTCTAAACATTAAATCAGCCTTGTCTGTCTCACCGTGCATGGCATGCTTGCTGTTAGTGAGGAGCTGGGACAGAGCCCAGAAGGCATCTTCCTCATTCAGGTACATGAGCAAGATGGCAGCGATCTGACTCATCCCCTGGCAGTAGCTCACCTCCTGGAGGAACACAGGAGTGACAGGTTCAATTAAACAGAATAATTATGAATTATTCATAATTTAATAGCACACACACACACACACACACACACACACACACACACACACACACACACAGACACACACACACACACACACACACACACACACACACACACACACACAGACACACACACACACACACACACAGACACACACACACAGGCAGGGGGGAAGAGAGCACCTGAATGTCTGATGTGGTCTGAAGGCAGACTGTGGATGTGTGTCTATACAGCACATAAGGAACGACAGACCTACTGTGTATGCAGCTACGATATTATAAACACTTTTACCAAAGGTTGTTCAAATATTTACTGTAGCCCAACATACATTCCCAGTATTGTCATGTCTTCAGCTTGAATTACTTGCAATATGACTCCACGATGATTCAATGATTTACAGTAAACACATCGCCCTTGGCAAGCACAGATACACAAAACCTGACACACACTTGGTATTTGTCCATATTAAGGCTGATTTATTGCACAGCTAGAAAGGGACACTCCAAAGTATCCTTTCAAGGAAATACAGTAAATATAATTTGGATTACACTGAGGTTAAACTACACATTCTCCACATTCTTCTCTACCATCACATAGGCAAAAGGACAAACACACTTTCCGACCCCCCTCCCTCTTTTTTGCTCACTCTCTCCTACTGACCCAGTTTCTTCTGAGCGGTGTGTGAGAAGAGGGGAAAAAGGAAAAAAGGGAACAGCACATGCCCATTTCCTCTGGCTCCAACACCTCTAAAACACAGGAATCGACTACAGAGCCCAATCAGAAAAAACAGACTTGGACTGTGTTTGCATGTGGGAAGATGTAAGATACTGTACACAAGCCTTTGGATTGTGAGATCTATCCCTACCAGACTGTATTGATAGTTATTATTAGTTAATATACACATACTAATCTACATGCATATGTTGAGATACAGGCTATATACACAATGCATTTGCTGCATTTTAGTAAGTATGTGTTGACACAAAGAGTTCCTACTTTGGTATAAAAGCCAAATTTCACCCAACGGAGACAAACGCTGGCTTATGGTGGAGAAAGTATCAATATCTACAACTGCATTGCAAACACATTTTAAAGAAAAGAGTGTGAAGATTACAAATGAATGTTATTAATTAAAATACAAAAGGATGAAACTGACTGGCTTAGGCTGTCATGAGAAATAAATACTTTAGGATAATTTCCGTTAAACACCATGTAGTGTCAAAGGGGAACTTGTTTGAATGGTGTGAGCACTGAGTAAGGAACTGGGTTCACTGGTGGTCTGGACTGTTACACTATGTTGCTGTACATTCAGTCAGAGCCACACTCATAAATAAAAGATCTCACCCAAGGCTCTAAACAAGGAGAACAGATGGGTTTAAAGTGCTTGGTCTGTTCTTTGCTGTATGGAAACTAAGGCACTCAATGGACTTGCAGCTGTTGCGCCACTGATGTCCTTTTTTGCGGCACAGTCAGTGTACACAAGACTTCTTCATATTATGTAACACACACACACACACACACACACAAACACTTATTTAGCTACGCACACATATATACGTACACAAACAAACTTACCGTGTTATAGACGGAGTATGCTGCTAAAACGTGAAACAGTGCCTGCTGCCTATAGAAGGGAACAAAGAAACCAATGGTTAAAATGAGGATGTGGTTTCTTAGCAACAACCAAGCAAGCTGAGACAAGCAGTACTGGACCATTATTGGAGTTTATTAAATGAAAATTCCCCAAGCCCACATGAGTAATGATTTCTCAACCACCTCATCCCTAAATTAAGCCCATCAATCAGCAGAAAGAAAAAAAAAAACACCCAGCTGCCATTTTCTGGGGGAGGCTGACAAACCCCAGCTGGATCATCATCCTGGTAGTGGTTTGTACAATGCTGTGTGTGTGTGTGTGTGTGTGTGTCTGTGTCTGTGTGTGTGTGTGTGTGTGTGTGTGTGTGTGTGTGTGTGTGTGTGTGTGTGTCTGTCTGTGTGTGTCTGGATCTTCAATCCCTCCACCCAGTGGTCCTATACCTGAGCTATCTAGCTTTGCCTTTAAGTATTACAGACGGGTGTGTGAAAGGACTTCTGCAAGCTATTAGTGCTTGAGTGACACTCAGAAATAATATAATTCATGTTTTTAGGGATCAATAAGATACAATCTAAAAGATCTCTGATTAAAGCATGCAACTTTTTTTCAGGGTTGTGTGCCGCATGGCTGATAACATCTGGAGTCTTAATTGTTTCAGACAGTAGACACAAGGCAGCTATTGTGTGTGTGTGCGAGTGGAGCAGGGGTATTAACAAATATAATGTAGAGGATGTCTCCCCTCCAGGCCTCTATAGTAAATACATGCCTTATAGACAGTGACAGAAACAGGAAAGGCGCTTTAAATAGCTGTCAGTGTTTCGGTGTGAGTGGGACAGCTGTTGACTTGCAGGGAAGGAGTGGGCAGCCAAGCAGGATGGAGCGGTGTTTTGGTCTGTTTGGACTCAGTGGCTTTGAATTGGAGGGGAAGTACGATACAAAGAGCAAGAGGAGAGCACTCACTCATACTCTCAGAGAGTTTATCTGACAAGGATGAACTGGTGGCTTTCAGATTTTCAAATACAAATATAATAGTTGTCCCACAATCATGTTCTGAGGCTAATTTAATGGATCTTTAATGTCTCTTTGTTATGTATGTTTTCATGTATTAGCATTAGATTGATGTGTTGTCACAGATGTACACTTGATGTCGCTGCACATTTTTGTATGAATGCCATTTCCTGTGGGGCTTCGTGCAATGACAGGAAGGCTAATAAAACACAGACAAGGAAACTGCCGTTTTGTTTGTGTGTGTGGGTGTGTGTGTAGGGCCTCAAGGTTTAAGGTCACAGCAAGAGACTTAGCGAGGGCAAACCTGAACATGTGAGGTGACCAAAGAAACAAAAGCAAGAACACCATATGAAACAAAAGTGATTTGTTATGAAAGCTACTCAAACTGTGTGACTTATTCTACAGGCTAAAAGGTCAAAGGAGTATTCCTATGATCCATCAGCGGTGTGTTTGCTTAGAAAAATGTTCAAGATAGATAGAAATTACTCATCTTCTACTGTGGCTCATTTGGGTGGCAATTATGTAATAGTTTAAAAGGAATAAAGAGATTATCACACTGCATTAGTAATGTCTATAGATGAATTGAAAAACAAGCGGCCCCACACAGCTTTCTGCTGACTGAAGCAAAGAACTCACTTGACTCCAAAGCGGTCCATGAACATGATGTGGTTCCTGAAGGTTCTGTTGACGTCCAAGTCTATCTGTTTGATCTCTGTGGAGTAGCTAAAAGCCTGCTGCTTCATTTTCTGGAGAATAAAAAAAAAAACAAATGAATTGGCCTGTTCACAGTAGCCACATTTTAGGGTAATTGTCATCACTTTTAAGATTGATACCTCATATTTTCCAGTGTTTTCTTGTTTGACTTTCTCTATGTCCAGAAGCAAGGCCCAGGCCTGGCCTCTCAGTTGCAGAGGGATGCCTTTATACACACGCTTCACCAACTGAAACGCATGACATACAAACAGACGTGAATAGGGACTCTCTAAACATAAAAAAGGCAGTCTTCACCACAGCAACCAGAGGAAATAGCCAGAGGGTCACATAGAAATGTTGCTTTATATGAAGAAGCCTGGTTAACTGTCTTGACTGACAAGGACTCATCACACGCACTTATGTACTTGATTTAACCGTCTAGACTGGAGAAGAGGGAGTAATAAAGGAATAAGCTGTGGTTAAAAGGGGAATGGAAAACACATTATTAACATAAACGGAAACACTACATCACATAGTTGAGTAGAAAAAGGGAAGCGAGGGCTAAATTAAGACAGCATGTTTGTGAGTGCATCCATAGTTACACACCTTTTCACTGTTTCTATACTTGTCCCAGTTCTTCACCATCTTAAGCCATTTCTCCACTCGCTCTATCTCCTGCTGCTTTTGCTGGGGAGCGGAGAGATGGACATACATGTGGTCATACATATGTTAAGGGGTGTAAATATATGATATGCAAGGTCAACCTCTGGACTTGCTTAAAGTTAATACCTTCTCTTCAAGCGCACTGGGTGTCGGCAGCTCTTCCTCACTGGAGCAGAAATGAAGAAATACACAGTGTGTATGAGAAATAGGGACATTCAGAAGATAACCTAATATGTTTAGCAAAAATATAAGACTTCATCATAATGTGAGAAAGATGAAAGAGAAGAAGTGGGGAAGAACCTAGAATTTAAAATACTACAAGGAAGCAGTCAAAGCTTAAAGTTGGGTAACTTACTGCAGGAAGCCGAAGCGGTCAGTGACCTTATAGATGCTGTAGTCAGCATCCTCCCATGGGTCAATGTTGACCCCATCCTGCCTGCCCTGAAACACCCACATACCGAAAACCCTTTTTAGAAAATATTGTATGCAATATGTATGCCATTAAAATTACACTACCAACAAAAATGTTCTGTCCTCTAATTGTGGTTCACTTGTTTTCCTGTTTTTAATGGGTCACTAAAGTGTTTTAACCCTAATTAGTGAAATACACATGTAGCATTCACAGTCACTGTCATTAATTGATCCTTCCTAGTAATCCAACTTTCACTGTCTACTAACAAATCTATTCTGAGCTCACACATTGCAGGCACCACTCGGGGCCTCTCTATACAAGATCAACATCAACTCCCCTGTTTTGATGTGTTAGATATACCCTGATTGTCTTTCTCTGAAGGAACTAATATGTTCCAAAGGATCATGATTTTACATTTAAGGCTGGACATGAATTGCAGTACACGGTCTGTGCCTATTTTTTAAAAACAACAACAACAACAATAATAATATCATCATCGGAGGGGACCGTAAACATGATAATTTGTAAATTTTAATTTTAATTATCTTTATGTTTATCATAAAAGTCCTGAGTATTGTCAGAGTTAGGTGGAGGTATTCCACTTACCTTGTCATATTTAGCAAGTATTTCAGCACGTTCCTCTGCTATCAATGTGTCTATGTCCTTCTTCATGTCCAAATCTGGAAGGAAGCAGACAAAAAAAATCTGTAAACATTTTATACACCCCAAAAATGATCAAAAGATTAATCGAAAACTAAAATAATGGTTGGCAACAGGCCTACATGAAGCATCATAAAAAGATGCTAATGCTGTGTACCACAGTGTGATAAGGCCAACAACTCATCACTTATTGTTCTTTAAAAATAGACTTTGCAAGCAGCAAGCTGGAGACTAGAAGAGCAGTATGGTAAAGACACAAACCACAAGGCCATCAGCAACTTCCTATGTGCCCAGAGCTTCAGCTGACAAAACGGTCCATTAATGTTCACAGATTCTCAGTGTGAAGTTAAAATTAACAGTACACTGAAAATGACTGAAATGTTATATTTAGAAATGCATTTCTGGGGACTGTGTACTGCCCTTTAAAAGCAGTGGTTTGCAAAATACCCAAACAAAAAAGTTAATTCATTTCATATCGTTGTTTCAAAAAGCATACACAAAAGGAAAACATAGAACGTGAAAGCTTTTGTTCTGATTTTAGACCTGATCTTGTAGCGGATATGTTACATCTGGATGTTTAGGGCTTTTAAAAACTATATTCCTCACCTCCAATTAATTTGTCCAAAAAGGGCAGCTCAGGTCAGACTGCGAGTGGATCAGAACGGTTCAGACTGAACCTCTAAACCTCTCACAATATCAAATAATCTGTGCAGTGAAATTGTTCCAAGGAAGCTTGCCCTCCTTGATTTTTTGGAATGCAGTACTGGGTAGAACAACCCAATAATCCTCTGGTGTATCTCCAGATTCAGACAGCTTTACTACGCAATGATCAACATTCAGTTTTAAGTTAAAAAGAAGAAAAAAGAAAAAGGACATAAAGAAAAAAATCACGTGTATTTCAGTCTGTTTGTCAAATTCAAGGCTATTTGAGGGTTAATCACAAGCAGACAGTCAGAGTAGGCCAGTGGGTCACAAAGCCATTGTTGAAGTGTGACACACAGTGACAGTCATGGGACTTTATGTCTCTAGCATATGTGTGTGTGTGTGTGTGTGTGTGTGTGTGTGTGTGTGTGTGTGTGTGTGTGTGTGTGTGTGTGTGTGTGTGGTGCGTACATGTATGTAGTCATCCGTGTCTCTGCCTGTGTGCACCACCAGAACCAGAACTCCAAAGCTCCTCGAGTCTCACCCCGTTCCTTTCTCTCACAGTATAACCTCTACCTAACCCCGGTGTGCCCCTCTAATTCCTGCCTCTAGCCTTCCCTGGTCTGATGAGGTCTGGCAGCAGGCTCAGCTGTTAAGCAGTTGTCAGGGTTGAATAATCGCCCAAGAGAGAACAGGCTCACCGCTCGTTTGCTAGGTCAGCATCTCGGAGTGATGTGTGGGTATGAGGAATATGCCAGCTATTCCTAGCAGGCACAGTGGATGATGGGAGATAAAAGGAGTGGATACGAAAACCCAGGGCAGTCGTACCCTTTGAATGTACCGTAGGCAATTAGCTACTATCTGGTGTTCATTTTAAGCAACAAGTTAGACAACAAAGCCTTTGTTGTGCTGCAACCTGAAACACTGTCATGGGTTAGATGCCCAAACAAACAAACAACAAACAAATTACAATTTCAAATGAAAGTTAACGTCTTTGAAGGTATTTTAGTGTTCCTTTAACAGAGATATAAATGGCTTAGATTTGTATGGTGAGCTGCAGGCTCTAAAAAAAAAAAAAAAAATTTTCAATTATGACAGCCTAAAACCAACAAGACAGGCGAGCCTATTGCAATAGAAGCCGTGCACTGAGGAATACTTTCCCTGATGCCTGCCAACATGTGTAGCCAGCTGAGGCATGCCTTGCCACAACAGGTGTGAAAAGCACCTGCCACCTCACACAAAACCCCTTTAACTTTTCCCCCTACAGACTCACGCTTTGTGCTGACTAGGACACGTTCGACTCAAAACCTTGTGACATTACCCCAGCATAATTTACAACTTTATTCCAGGGCAGTGGGCACACTGACAGACACGTTAAGGGGGTAGGATAAAGGGCATCAAATTCCAAGATGCAGTTTGTTTGTGGGTATATATTTGCTAAAGAAATCATCATGTTTTTGTTCAGATGTGATAGCTCTTTCCACATACTTTTACATACAACATTTGCTGCCTTAGGTAGTTTAACTATTACAGGTGAAAATTTAATTTTATTAGTGCTGTCAGTTTAACGCGTTATTAACGGCATTAACGCAGACCTATTTTAATGGCGTCAATTCTTTTATCGCGAGATTAGCGCCTAGCACACTTTGTAGTTTTTTCACATGCTGTTGCAACAACTAGTAACGTTAGAAAAACTACAACACCACATCGGATCTAGCTGGACCGGAAACAAAACAACAGGCACGCCGCACACACTTGTTTAAGAGTAGTAGACGTTATGTTTTGAGTGGATGGCGAGCGCGAGATGCCAAAATGGATGGATTCCTTGTTGTCTGAAAATGTCAACAGGCTTGTCTGTTTGAGTAACTGGCTCAAAGCAAATAAGTAGTAAGCTTACCTTTTATTGGTAACCGTTACTGTTCATTCTTTCTGAAATAAGAGGCTGGGTTGTTGAGCCTCTCGTGAATAAAGAGCAGCAGCCTGACTGCTATGTTCAAAGCAAACTTGAGAATAGTATTAAGCCATGGTTTAACTGCACTATTGGCTGAGTCCTAGGTTACCTTACATGTGCACTTTGTAATTTTATTTTGTATCGCCCTGTTTTGATCCCTTAGAAAGGGCTGTTGAAGGGGCTGTTTGTGTGACAAGTATTTCACCCTTTTATTGATGGACAGTGTTACATTGTGTGAGAGATTATTTGCTCCAAGTGAGAATGTAGTATATACCAATGTTGTTTTCAATAAAAACAACAAACAAAGCAAGCCAATCCACTTTTCCATGTTGATAAGAGCATTAAAATGAGAAAAAATAATGGGACAAAAAGAAATCAAGGGACATTCAGAATAGATAAAAATGTGCAATTAACTTTGACATTATAGTGATTAATCGCGATTAAATATTTCAATCGTTTGACAGCACTAAATTTTATACAAAGGTGTGAGAAAAAAAGAGATAAGGAGAATGCTAAGGATGGTATGCAAGTGAGAGAACAAGAGGCCTCATTTATTATTATTGTTATTATTATTTACTCAATCCTGAGAAAGTCCCCCCTAAGCAACCATATACACCTGATCTTAAAAAACCCCCAGCATCCAGTCTTGTCCATCAAAACAACAGCTGAGTCTGTTGTCTAACAGGTGGTCAGTGAAACCAGGCCACTGAACAAATGGCCTCTGCTGTTCTCTTCATTCCTTTTCACAATTTCCCTTTTCTCGCCTACCTCAGGTCAAACTATTTCAGGTGTTTGGAGGCATAAGCATATTTCTCTGAACAGCTGAGTCAGCTGTCTGAGAGGTGGAGCCATTAAAATACCTCTAACCTTGCTTACTGTACATCATAGTATCAGAGGAAAAAGCCTTATATGCAGGCTACATTGAACAAACTAGGGTGATAAGGTTTAAAGGGTGGGGTGGATGCGTGGTTTAACACACTAACACGTGGTTGTAAGCAGATATAATGGTATCATATCCATATATTAAAATCACTATCAACTTGAAACTGGGGTAAAAGGTTTGTTGTGCTTCATCTTTAGGTCCCTGCTGCTTACTTCCTGTGTTGAGTCTCCAGACTGCTGATAGTATTGTGTTGGGGTCAGGAAGAAAAGGAAACCAGTAACTGCCACTCCTTCAACAACAGGTTCAATGAGAACTGCAAAGAGTGTGACAACAAAATCCTCTAACCAAGGAAAACCCTTTTACTGACAAAGCTTATCCAGACTTGGTGTTTGTAGTCAGCAGGAAAAACATGAGTAATATCACTAGGTGGTCAGTTCACATTAACACTACTGGTATTTTGGTTGTGAGTCACCAACAGTGTTGGCTCCTTGGCACTCTTTGTCAAAAGCATTACATCTTGCTGTTGGTCCGCTGAACTGCTCTTTTTAAGTGGTGAGAAAGGTGGGGATGTGGTGGGGATCAGGGTGTCAGATTGAAACAGATTTAAGCTGGAGATAAAAAGTGAGTAAGCAGCAGAGAAGGTCACTGAGTAGGAGAGAGGTCATGTACAGCACAGTTAAACATCACACCTGGGGGACCTGGGAGTAGGTATTCAAATCTTTACAAATGTCTCAGAATGTGGGCATAGTGAGACAGAGGTGGTGAAAAGGTGGTAGGTGGGCCGGTATAGACAGAGAGACAGATCTGCATATAGCTAAAGGCACTGACTACATGCAGTGGAAAAACACTTCCCTGCATGGCTAAATTTTGATAACCTAGCTGCTTACAGGATACAAGATTTTCAGCTAGGTGACATCATTTCCTGTTATGACATAGCGCTCTAAATCTAATTCTCAGTGCACTGTTGTAGTGCAGCTTGCAAAGCATTGACAATCCCATCCAGCTAATAACGTGGTTGTAAGTAGAGGACTATCAGTCAAAACATCTTTTTACTGATTTATCACTAAAATTTCCCCATCTCTAAATGTCTCGCATCTCAACACTGTGTTCAGCCCAACATTATTTGTTAACTTTTTACCACATTTCACAGGCAGGATAAACCACAAGTACTCTTTTCCTTACTTTTCTACTTTTCCTTGATCCATAAACATCTCTCTGTTGGCTTATAATCAATCTCAATCTGAGCAGAAGTCAGATGTCAGATTTAAGGATTATACAGGACCAAAGCCAGAATGACAGCCTGAGATTAGAAGGAGTCTGGCAGAAGTCAACTAACGATAGCCTTCGGAGGGCAGCAAGCTCCACTAGACTGATAGTTTGGGTTAGGTAAGGGGTGTGTATTCACCGTATTTGTGCATCAGTGGGCACACATCCTGAACTGAAGTGAAACTACATCAGGGTGTGGAACGACAGAAAGAAGTTGAGTTACTGGGTTGGAGACTCACTTCCACCGTTTCAATCTACTTACAGATGTTGCATTGAAC